AATGAATGAATGAATGAATGAATGAATGAATGAATCTGACGAATGCAAAAGACCTGATCTGTAGTTGATCTGTTATGTTGAAACCCACACTGATGATCCCCAATAATTTCATCTATGTAAGGACTTAACATTGAGAGAAGAACACTGCATAAAATTTTGTATGAAGTTGATAGCAGTGATATCCCCCAGTAATTACTAGTCAGTTTTATCACCCTTCTTGTGAACTGTTACAGGAAATTTTTCCCGATTCCAAATAAAATTATTTAGCTTATGGATCTTAGAACATAATATTTCGCCTCCTGCTTGAATAATTTCTGCAAAAATTGATCATTACTTGGCGATTTATAACTTTTCAAATTTGCAATAGCAATACAACGCATGCAGTCACAAAGGAAGGATACAACACAGAACACAATATACACAAGAATATAGGAAGAGTACTCTCACAGGAGAGGACTAACGTAACTCGTGAATTTGAAGTGCAACGTATAGATGATAAATCTTGAAAAGTTTTAATATATAAACTTTATTATTATACGTGACATATATACATTTTAATCATTTTATAAAGGAGACATGATGGCATACAGTGCAATGGTGTGACATAAATAAAACCACACCTGAAGATGGCACATTAGTGCCGAAACATGTAGTGAAGAGAAAAGTGAAATTGTGTGCACTGTTAAGATGGTTGGTACAAATACACATCATGAACATTAATCAGTGCAACAGGACGCTAAAATATAACATTAACGTTCTTGTTCTTACTGTTCTTTGCAAGATCATCAATTTTGTCTTTCAGATATTTCTTCTTTTTGTTCCTGAAATGACTGCTGGTTTTGCGTCTTACGTTGTTCAGATTATCCCCATTTAACTCGCTTGGATCCTGTAACCACTGTCTTGTTTCCTTTGGTCTAATAATTTTGAGAATCCTTCATCGAACCATGGCTTATGCGTCTTTGGTTCATAATAACCTACACTCTGCTTGGCAGAAATGTTGATATTCTCTCTAAAAGTTTCCCATGCTTTATTAACATCCTCCTCAGTGTCCACGTTTTCCAATGCCGTAAACCTATTCGAGATTTCAACACGATACTGCTCTTTACCCTCTACCTCATTTAATTTCCTGAGGTTGAACTTCTCCATATGAACTCTGTGTTGTTTGTTTGCCCACTGCCAGATTTTCCCTAACCCTTGCCACCACCAGGTAGTGGTCAGTATCATAATCTGCTGTCCTAAATGATCAGATATCAAGTATACATGAATGCCGTCTCCTAGCTATCAAAATATGGTCGATTTGTTTGTGCGACTTCCCATCAGGAGATGTCCAAGTAAATGTATGGATGTTACAATGTGGGAACATTGTACTTTTGACAGTAAGATTTTTTGATGTGGCAAATTCTACTACTCTATTATCATTACTAATTTCATGCAGACTCTCATTCCCAATCGTTGGTTTGAAAATATCTTCATACTTACTTTGGCATTGATACCTCCTAACAAAATTTTCAAATGGTACTTTGGAAATTTATCAAAAACATGTTCTAGTTCTTCATAGAACCTGTACTTTATGTCATCAATTTTATCTTCTGTTGGGGCATGAACATTCATAATGATGATATCACACAAGCGACCTTTTAGTTGGAACTTTAATAGTGGCAACTATTTATTTACAACCGATACAAAACAGATGTATGTTTCGAAGTTTTACTGTCCTTCAATGTAGTCACCAGGATTGTGTACAACTCGTTTCCAGCAGTGTGGAAGTCGTAGGATACCTTTAGCAGCGTCTGTTGTGTTGATAGTTCGAACGGAGCGGTCTACTGCCTGAAGAATCTCTGGAACAGTTGTGAAGCGAATGCCATGAAGTGGTTCCTTCATCTTAGGAATTGAGTCAAAGTCACAGGGGCTTAAGTCCGGGGAGTATGGTGGATGGTACAGCACTTCCCAGCCCCATCGATAGAACAAATCAGCCACAGCTTGCTCTGCATGCAGCCAAGCATGGTCCTGCAAAATAATGGGTCGGTTCTGCAGAAAGTGTCACCGCATCTTTCTCAAAACTGGTCGCAGGTTGTGTTCCAAAAATGAACAGTAATACTGCGCATTGACGATCTGCTGTTGGGGAATGGTATGCGTTAGAATAACACCATCACAGTGATACATGATAATCACCATAACTTTCACATTGCTGGGGTTCTGACAAACTTTTGATTATCGTGGTGACCCGTAATGATGCCATTCGATTGGCGTTTCATTTGTGGCTCGTACGATTCGGCCCATGTCTCATCCAGCGTAATGATGTGGCGTAAGGAAGCCTCTCCTTCATACTCATAGTGCTCCAAGTGGTTACGAGCAGCATCGTATCATAGCCATTTCTGCATTTCTGTCAAATCATGTGGAACCCATTGTGATGCAATTTTTCTCATGCCTAGGTGTTCCTTCAGAATGTGAAGCACAGTCATATGCGCTGATCCTGTCTCTTGGGCCAGCTCATGAATCGTATGGCGTCGATCACTCTCTAGTAACGCGGAAAGTACATATACTTCTTCACTTACACTAGGACGACCTGACCGATGCATGTCTGCCACATTTTGGCGTCCCTCGTTGAAGGCTTTTACCCACCTTGCCAGTGTTCTGTGAGGCAATGCAGACTCCCTGCAAGCCTCTTGAAGACCTTGATGACACTGTCATGCTGTAAGGCCTCTGGCACATTCAATCTCTATCCAACTCACTTGTTCTTGGCTCTGTTCTTCTCGTCACTGTGCATGTGCGTGATGTTGGAAGGGAGAGTCCATTTGCTCTGAGGTAAGGTAGGTATGTAACTAACGTGTGGTATAAGTGACATTATTTGGTTCCGTTGCATGGCATGTCTACAGCAGTGTTGCCACTATTAAAGTTACAACCCTCGCATATGATATCCTATCACTAACGAATAAAATTTATTAAATGTTTGTCTTGAGGGTCAAATCACTCAATCACTGTCTTTAAAAGTTGGTTACGTTGTGAGAGACAGAAATACATCTCTTTCAATAGCAGTGAATGAGGCAATGCCCATTATGAGGCTCTACTGCCAGTTAAGAAAAAAGAAAGGTTAGGTACTTGTGACAGAGCTTGTTTTGCAGCTGACTTTTCCTGAAAACAATTCATTTTGATATGAGCACCAGCATATAGTTATTCTGCCATGTTTAAAACTCCAATACAAATGCATTTGCAATTTCAATGGCCTTCAAGTCAGTTATCTAATGTATTTGTTTCCCAAGTGAGTTGTCTTGCACCATAATGCCAACTATGGTAAATTCATTTTCAGCTTATTCAGTTTTATTCTGGATATAATTAGATGGTTTGAATGACATTATTTGAATGCCAATACCAGTATAAAATGGGAGGTACACTTTCCACCAATTTCACACCTCCAAAAATGGATATAAGGATTTTGCAGTGTTCAGCAAAATGTGGCAGAGAAAAGGTTATGACAGAGAGTGACAAAGCAGAGTTTTATCTCCTGAAATTGTAGATTTTTCCATCTCTTCTTAATAATCACTTCCAAACACTATCTACCACTCAAAATAAAGACTCTGTTAAACCAATGCAAATATTCCACTTAAAACACTTTTGCTTCAATTAAGTAACCAACTCCACAAAACAGAATTCTTCTTGAGAAGTTAAATATCACTAAGCTAATCAAGAAATTCCCTGCATTAATGGAACTCAAAGTTCAGCAAGGTAAAGGGTCCTGAATTGTTGACTTGAATTTAGAGTGGAGGTGTTGGGATTGTGATGTAATATAGCTGAAGGACAAACACTGGAATTCACAGTGGTATGACCCCTCTAAAATATCTCATTAATAAAACTGTAAAATCTGATGTCTTGAACATAAAATTTTGAGCCTGCAAAAGAAAGTCAATTTTTTGTGTTTTTACAAAAAGTGTTACAATATCGCCCACCTATTTTTTTATAGGAAAAGAGTAGTTCAAATTTTATCCATATATTTCAAAGCTAGAAACAGACCAAATAACCAACAGGGGCAAATGTATTATATAGACTTTCAACATCAGCATCCTTGAAGGTTACTGTCCTTTCAGATGAGACACCATGTAGTCTGGCAGATGTTTATGAATGTGTGAATGTGAACACGCTGCCTCCATTTCCTACCTTGATGACAGAGGCAGTATATTCCTCTGAAACACTGGTAAACATCTAACAGAATCCACAGAACCACATCCTAGAGGATGGTAATATTCAGAGTCACTGCTCTTAGAATATTGTGACATGTGGACTCGTTGCTAGGCAACAACCACAAAACGAGCAACTATACAACAGCCATTGCTAAGTAATGGCTCTGCAAACAAGCAAGTTTCCTCAGAAAAAAGAGAACGCAGCAATAACTGAAGAGACGTTTTCTACACAGTCCATGCCAAGATGTTATAAGCAGGACCAGTCAGCAGTTACAGTGAGTTAGAGATCTGCTGGGGTACAGTTGTTGTGAGCTGTTGTTAGAAGCTCATAGCTGAGGCCAGGGATAGTTTGGGAACCCAGAGGAAACGTCTGCCGTTGGAATCCATTAACAAGCAACGACAGTGAAGACATGATTGTGGACACTGATGTGTGTGTGTGTCATACCAAACTGTACAATGTAGTTATGTGCTGTACCAAAGTGTGCAATAAATTGAGTCAACAATCCAAAACCCATCTATAGTCACACTCCAGCACATGACACTATCAAATATCAGTATCCTCTTACATAACGTAATCCTTTAGCATTCATTTTGGTTCATTAATGCTTCTCAAGCTTGAGGCAGATCTGTCTCTTTCTTCAATACCACATTTGTAGTTCTTTCACTGAATCCTTTTCCCACCTCTCATGTTATGACATCAAATATTGTGGTGTACCAAATACTGTCTGGTGGGAGATATTTGGAAAACTGTGTGATTTCAACATGGTGGCTCCCCCATAGAAAGTATAACAGATGAACCAGTTCAAACAAACATGAACAGAATACCTATCATACACCTCACAAACCATGCAACTTATGATATTGATGACATCAGCAATCTTACTATAGCAGGATCAAAGCATAACGTTGAAATATCACTGTTACAGATTTACGAGTATTTCAAAATAATCCAGTGAAGTCTAAACAAGAGGAACTCACTCAGAAATTCAAGTAAAATCAGGGAAGACACTGCACATACTTCCTCAGGTACAACTGAACTTGACTACATTACCTTGGAAACAAAACTGACTGCTGCTCGGTAGATCATTGGTGGTTGCTAATATGGAACAAGAATGATATCTGTCTCACCGATATGTAAATATTGTCACGTGCTGCCTAAAGGGCAGAATATCTGAGTCACAGTGGGCATCCATCGTTAGGCAACGGCTCAGTATTCATGGTTCTCTATTGTTGTCAGGGTAACAGTGAAACGCACCAATATATACATAATAGACGTTACGATGCAAGTGAAAAAACAGAACTAGTGTAGTTCCTGTAACAACGAATACACCAGCAACCGGTGCATAGAACATGTGAAACAGAAGTGCTGAAGGTGTCTTCTAGTCTGTCTGATGGTAGAATATAAGGGAACACACCAGATCAGATCAGATCAGAACAGGTCAGAGTGGTAAATGGGTTGGGTGGGGTGGAACATGCACGCACACCTCAACCACTCCCTTCATGCCAATGTTGCAGCATAAAATTACTCCTCTAATTTCAACCAGAACCTTGGATCCCAAGGTTTGATATTGTAACCGGTTCTTTTTTAAGTTATAGCAATAAGAGTTTTTAATTGTATATGACATTAAAAGTCACACTCATTCACTTTTATTAGTAATGTGAGAACTAATGTTCACCTGATATTACTAGCCTCTAGTAGCTTCTTTGAAATTTTTGACATAAACAAGAGTGGGGTGCACCAGATTGCCTCCGAAAAGTGATCGCATTTTTATGATATTCAAAAATGCATAAGCACAAGTTGACAGAGATATACATGAGGAAAATCTTACTGTTCCTTGCCGTGGGTCATAGAATCGCTGAATGAGCTGGATACATGTTGATTTTCCGCATCCAGAGCTTCCCACAAGAGCCACTGTCTCACCACGGTTTATATCCAAGTTCAAACCCTGAAGTACCTGCCAGGAAAAACTTTATAAATTATTTTATGTATGCATATTATAGCCTCAATTTGTTTATTTTTTTCTTTTCTATCAATTTACTGTCTTTGTTTGATTATTTCACACATACAATGTGATTTGCTGTTGTTATTAAAGTACTTTAGACAAATCCTTTTCAGTTATCCCATCCACTCACTAAATATAATGACTCATCATGTAATTCATAAAGAAAATACGATTCTGGAATCTCTTCCATATAGTGCCTCCCTAAATATAAAATTTTCCCAGTTCTGATGTCTGCAAATTATAATTTGATTTGAATTTTATCTCCATGCACCTCTGAATTTGCAGTATTAAATTTTTGTTCTTCAAAAGAAACAGATTTGACAATTGTTCCGGGTGAAAGTATAGAGTCAATTAAAAATAGTCCCTACGAAAAATGAGGAATGCATCTCACTAATACACAGTCACCGGATCCCCTTCATAAATTATTATCTGGGCTACTGCTAGAACCACTGTACCACCATGGTTTTGACATCTTTGTCTGATCCAAATGTTACTCAAAACTTGAAAAGATTATGTAAAACTCATATTGAACCATGCTATTATATGAAGCAATAACACCAAACAGGTTGACTTAGGCAGTAACACTTCTGATTTGTATTCAGGTATCTTGTTTGAACACTGACCAGCTATCCTGAAGCTTTATGGGGAATTCCTCAGCTTCCCTGGAAAATGCTTGAACAATACCTTACAATTTTTTTCTCTCCTCTTGCTCCAAATTTGGAGCATGGGGCTGATTTCTCAGTTTCATGATATTTTTACACATGGTAGGACTCCTTGGATGGGTGATCAGCTCATCGCAAGGCCTCTACCCAAACACAAGACAACACAAACAGAATAAACACATACACACACTAAACACCCATGCCTTGTGTGGGATTTGAACCCATGATCCCGGCTTCTGAGGGAGCGAAAGCAGTACATGCCTTAAGATGGCTCGGCTACTGTGATTGGTAATTTAAATTAGGCCATGATATTTTCCGTCCAAACCATTTCCAAAAAATTTTTGCAATCACTCAATAATTCAATGTTAGAGTTACTAACGGTGTTATTATACACATATCACACACTACACGTAACTAAACAAGAACCAATGAGAATATGTAAGACACAGTTTGTAGGATTCACTTACCTTAACATCTGCCCTAGTTGGATATTCAAAATGTACATCTCTGAAACATATGTTACCGTCCATCTTTCCTGTGCGCTTCCCATCTTCAGACAAGCTGTTGATGGGCGAGACACGGTCAATTACTGAGAATACTTTTGCTGCAGCTCCTTTGGCTATGGAAAATGCCTCAATATATGGGGATGACAGACCAAAGTTCATTGAACCCACCATAACACCGAAGAACACCTGTGTCAAAATGATTACTGTTCAAATGTTTTCATAATTTAACCCATGAATTGAACCAAGATCATTCAAGACACTTTCATAGATATGTGATCTCTCAAAGCAATATTTATCAGCTGGCAGTGTGTGAGCCAGTGCCGATCTGTGACTTCATTTATATGGATCCTGAAATTCTAGCTAGCATTACAAGCGCATGGACATGCACACACACTCTCTCTAGCACCACTCTAACAATGAATTCCAGGCAGAATTCATGAAGCCTACTTTCTTACTGCACAGATGTCCAGTGTTAAAAATCTTGTGTTGTTAATGCCAGGTTTATGTGACATAAATTTATAATGCAGCAGTATAATACAACGTAGCTTATGGGTCAGACTGCTACTCATGCAAAACTGTACATGCCTGAATCCTAAATGAGTCATATTTCTGTTCCTAGTAAGAACATAGGGACTTCAATAAGTAAGGGCAAACTGTATTGTATTGAGATACACATCATATATACAGATCCAAATAACATGTTATTTTTCCAAGTAGTCACTGTCCTTTGCAATGCAAAGGACAGTGATTGCTGTGCAATCTTTGTCTTTGCATTGCTTCCTTAAGAGTGAAAAACACATGACAGTTGGATGGAGTGAGGTCTGGACTGTAATTTATGTTCTCAAATTACAGTTTTTGGGTGGTGGTAACTGTTGCAGCAGCAGTGTGTGGTCATGCATTGTCATGAAGATGGACGCCTTTGGACAGAAGTCCACAATGACAACTACCAATTGCAGGATGGTGCTGTTCATTACACTGTTGACTACTTTGTCCTGACAGTGTTCAACAACTGTTCCAGTCATGTCCCAGAAGGTCACCATAATTTTTCCTACAGATGATGGTAACTTGAACTTTTCTTGGCAGGAGAGGATGTGTCATCATTCCATTGATTGTCTTTTGGATTCTGGTGCATAATAATGAACCCAGGTTTCATTCCCTGTGACAATGTATGCAGGAAACGCTTCACCTTCAGCATGGTAACATGTCAAGAAAACTCAACAATTCTGCACACACACTTCAACTTGTATTCATCGATCAACTGCCTCGGCACCCACATAGAACACAGCAATATTTGAGAGTCTCATGGATGATGCCATGTGCAGATCCAATGCTAATGTTCAACACAGTGGCAACAGTGTTCACAGATAAGTTAAGTTAACATAAGTTAACCAGAATGTACAACACTGAAGAGAGGATGACAAATTCAACACTGAACTACTCCAGGGTAATAGCATAAGGAAACTGTATGCATGAAAAGAAGAATCTGAAGGGAGCTATGAAAAAATGCATGGATTTATCGTGACATGTAGACCTGTTGTTAGGCAATGACTGCAAGCTAAGCATATATATATATATAAGCTGTTACTGAGTAATGACAATAATGAAACAGTGTTTTCCCTGCCATCCATGCTGAGATGTTATAAGTGGGACAGTTAGTTCAGAGAGTTAACAGTTGGAGCAACGAGTTAGTTGTGAGACAGTCCCGAGCCAGTCAAAAAGTCAGCACATAAGCAGAGCACACTGTTGGGATCTTTCTCTAGGCAATGACTGATGAAGGCACAGCAAACTTTGAGAACTGTGGTTACAGTGATCTTTGGAGTGTGTACTCAGTGAGATCATCATAGTTATTTGTAGTTAAGTTCTGTTAAGTGATCAATAAATCCAATTACCAATCCAAACCCTGTATGTAGTCACTTAACCATGAGACCATGAACACAATAAATAAAGTAACACATGAAGCATGGAGTATAAAAATAAAGAATAATTACAGAAGAAAGTGGATGATGACAGAAGTTATGGAATGCATAAACTTAAAAAAAGAATGGTTAAGCTCAATATGAGATATGCATAAAGAAATGTATAAAGAGAAAAAGAAAACTGCAGCAATGGCAGCTATAGAGGCAAAAAATGAAACATAGGATAAAATATGTTTGAAAATAAATTGTGAGCTGGGATTCAAAAGGTCATTCATATATATATTGTGACATGTTGCGCAACGGAGAACCCCTCCCTACCCAGCAGCAACGTGGCAACTCAGGCCACAGTAACGTGGCAGATGAGTCAGCGCTCCCCCCCCCCTCCACGGTGATGTAACGTGCAACGCCGCAANCAACGTGGCAACTCAGGCCACAGTAACGTGGCAGATGAGTCAGCGCTCCCCCACCCCCCTCCTCCACGGTGATGTAACGCGCAACGCCGCAATTGCTAAGTACCCGTAACCAACTTCCAACAGCGTTGCTACGTAACAGGCAAACACAGCCACTATATAAGAGAGCTGCACTGCCTGCAAGGAGAGTTGAAATATAGCAGCAGTCGCGAGAAGAAGACCCGAACGCGTGGTTACAAGATTTTATGTGACAGTGTGCGATAACTAAGAAGTCAGCGAGTGGAAGACTTATTGTGTGCTTTCGAGACTTTGTGTGTGCTGTAGTACAGTTATATTTGGAGTGTGTAATTCAGAGAGACTTGTATAGCCCCTGCGTTATTAATATGTGAAGACTCTTGAAGATAGTGCGAAGAGATTTGGTTGTAGGGTTTGTAAAGTGTGGAAACCCGTAACATTGTTATAATTAATTGTAGCCGAGATTTGTAGGTTGTTAAATAAACCAATTAACAATCTCTATGGCATATTCAGTAACGAAACACGTTACAATATATATATTGCGGCATGTCTGCTAGGCAATGCAACATGAGATTTTGTGGGTATCAGATTTGAACCACTATTTTCGTTCATATCCGACAAGGGACCAAGGACAGTTGAGCTCCGAGCAGAGCACAAGATGCTTCACTGAGAATAGCAGTGCAAGAGGGTTGTAACAGTGAAGACGAAACATGGTGTTACAAGTGGAATGATTGTACTTGCGAGTGTAAAAGTGACTGTCCAGTAAATATTTGTTGAAATCCGAGAACCTGCAAAAATTTCTTATTGCGTTGTCTCGCAAACACGTGGGGAATACGTATGCGCGCACGCACACACATGGAAAGCACAAATGTAACAGTTTCAGGCATCAAAGTGGATACAGCAATAAAGAACACAATGAAGGAGAAATCTCCTGGATCTGGGAATATCAAAAAATTGGACAGAAAAACGTTATAAAGGAAATGAGGAACAAAGTTGCTTCATTAAGGGCTGATCAACTGTAGCTCATGTTCATGTTATTAGACAAATACTTGAAAATGTAACATGCAACAAGAACATATTACTTTAATATTCTATGACTTGGAAAAGGCTTATGACAGTGTACCAAGAAACTATTATGGCAAGCCCTGAGAATGGCAATGTTAACCAATCAGTTATAAAGACTATAAGAAATATAATATAGCAATAATAAATTCAGAATAAAAATAAGCTCAAATTTGTCAGAAGAATTCTGTAACAAAAGTGGTTTATTACAGGGATATCCAGTTACCAGCTCTGTTCAACGTATATGAGGGTAAGTCAATAAGTAAGTTGCAAATGGATATAGAACTCAAACAAATAAGAGTACTGATTTGAAAAATGCTTTTGTTTCTCAAAGTAATCTCCCTGCACATTGAGGCACTTGTCCCATTGTTTCACTATGTAGCCGTACCACTGACACCGCCATCTTTATTTGTAATCAATATTTCTTTTTAGGGTAATTATACACAAGAGGTAGCAAGGAACACTCAAGGGTGACTTAGCCCGATTCTTGCTACAAAGACCAGACAGGAAGCACCCCGCAGAGTGTTCCTGGAAATTCAGTTAGAAAGTTGACCGGCGGGATCCTTTGGTAAAGTTACACTTGACAAGTTTTGAACCCCATAAGTCAAAAGTGGGAAGGCCAGCAACCCATGCTACTGGTATAATTTTTCAGGCAGCTGTCTAAAACGACGTTAGGACTTTAAGGTCCAAAGTCCCAAATTAAAGTTATGTGATTGGAGCAGTGAGAATTATGGTTAACTCCCTAAATTCGAATTGTTCCAATCAG